GGCCTGGGGGAAAGAAGAAGGGGAAACGCAGAACCCGCCCCAACCCCGGCCTGCGGGAAAGAAGAAGGGGAAATGCAGAACCCGCCCCAGCCCGGGCCTGTGGGAAAGAAGAGAAAACGCAGAACCCGCCCCAACCCTGGTCTGCAGGGAAGGCCCTGCTGTGCTATGGCAGGGATGATCAGACCTTTGGCCTCTGACCTTGCAGTGATGTCACAGCAGCTCCATGGCAACAGTGCACCCAGCACCTCCTGACCACTCCCCGTGTTACAGCAGGCAGTGGGGTTGGCAGTCATGCACTGGGGCTGAGGCTGGGCTGGAGGATGGAGAAGGACTCGGGAGCCACACACAGGAGACCCCGGCCTGGCCCTGGAGCCCTGCCCTTGGGAGTGGCCCTTGGGCACCTCAAGTCAGCCAGTGAGGCCACTGAACCTCAGCGGAGCAGGAGTCTGGGGGTCCTGCAGCCGAAGGGGGACTCTCCCAGCCGCCCTGGGAAGCCGCACAAGGAGCCGGGTAGGGGCCGTGGGGAGCGGGTGGGTAGCATGGCTGCTCCACCAGGCGCTGAACCCAAAGTACCTGCGTCAGGGCCCAGCCTACTTAGAAAGTCCACTTCCCAAGATTAGGGCCACGCCAGGACAGCCTCAGGAGCTCCTGGCCACATGTGCCTGAGCGGGGCATGGCCTGGTAACATACATTTTAGGGGGATGGTGTGTGTCTAGGTGGGGACACAGGCTGGTGTCATGTTTTAGGGGGACGTGTGTCTAGGTGGGGGCACAGCCTGGTGTCATACGTTTTAGGGGGACATGTGTGTCTAGGTGGGGGCACAGGCTGGTGTCATGTTTTAGGGGGACATGTGTGTCTAGGTGGGGGCACAGCCTGGTGTCATATGTTTTAGGGGGATAGTGTGTCTAGGTGGGGACACAGGCTGGTGTCATGTTTTAGGGGGACGTGTGTCTAGGTGGGGGCACAGCCTGGTGTCATATGTTTTAGGGGGACATGTGTGTCTAGGTGGGGGCACAGCCTGGTGTCATACGTTTTAGAGGGACGTGTGTCTAGGTGGGGACACAGGCTGGTGTCATGTTTTAGGGGGATAGTGTGTCTAGGTGGGGGCACAGCCTGGTATCATATGTTTTAGGGAGACATGTGTGTCTAGGTGGGGGCACAGCCTGGTGTCATCTTTTAGGGGGACATGTGTGTCTCGGTGGGGGCACAGCCTGGTGTCATGTTTTAGGGGGATAGTGTGTGCCCGGGCAGGGCACAGCCTGGTGTCACACATTGTAGGGGGATGTGTGTCTAGGCGGGGGCACAGCCTGGTGTCACATATTAGGGGGACGTGAGGCCTCAGCACCTGTGAGGGGTCCATCGGTTCCATCCGGAAAGGGGACAGCCTGAAGCAGGAAGAGGGGTTTTCAGGTCCCAGGTAGAGAGGAGACGCATGCTGCATGCTTTTGGATCTCTGATCAACCCTTCACTGAACACACAGTTTACATGTAAAGGGGCTAAAGAGTCAAGTGTGCCCTAGTCTGGCTCAGTGGCTGCATTTTTACGTAAACAGCCGGAGGGAGCCGCCAACATTGTCTCAGGTGAGCAGAGGGAGCACCCTGCGCTCTGGCCTGGCCCTGCGCCTGTGAAGGCCAGCAGTCGTTTGTGTTGCCACCTTGAAACTCCACAGAACTATGTTAGGGTAGAGGTTTTGAAGTCCACAGGGAATGTCCTCATGGGCGAATGCTGAGGGAGGCCGGTGGCCATTTATCTCGGCAGCTCTGATTTAGGACGAGGAGGGGAGGCAGGTTTGCCTGGCACGGTTCCCAGCCTGACTTCCCCTTGGTCAGTGATTTGGGGCCTTAGATTCAGGGACCGGGCCGGGCCTCCTGCCTCCCACTGCCCTGTGCTCAGAACACTAGGGCTGGAAGTGGGGGCCATTCCAGCTCCACACCTGTAACCCACCCAGGGCTGCAGAGGAAGGCCTCACACTGCTGGCCCCGGGGGAGCTGTGGGGGCTGCAGCTGGGCACAGCCAAGGGTGGGCGGGGTGAGAGGAGGGTGGGTCCGGGACTCTCACGGGCCTCTGGAGCCACCAATGCCTGGAGAGAAGACCGTGGCCAGGCCCTCATTTGCAAGGAGGCCCTGGTGAGGGCCTGGGTCCCTGCAGGGAGCCTCGGGCCTCCCCCACCGGCGAGGAACCTGCATGGCCAGTGTTTGGCAGGGACGCGGGCCTGGGGAGGGTGCTAGAGTCACCCCTCACACCTCCAACACCGGCCCAGAGCACGGGGCTGAGGGGCTGGCCCCCAGGTGCGAGCTGGCGCACCCCTCATCTCCTGCAGCCTCAGCGACTCTGCCTCCCCTTCGCAAGGGTGTACGCGGGGCCTCAGAAGTGAAACAGCCCAGTGGGGCTTGGGGTTTGTCTGTGCAAGCCCTAGGGACAGTTTTCAGAGGTAATGATATAAAAATACATGTTCTTCTCTGAGTTTAAAAATCCAAAGATGTGCTGTTTTGGGGGCCATGAGCAGTTAGGAGGCTGTACCCCATCTCCTCCCCATGGGGTTCTCTCAAGGCAAGCAAACTTCTCAAAAGAAGTTACATCAGGGCTGCTAAGCGGGAATTTAAGTAGGGACCGGAGCAGGTCTCAAAGAATGCTACCCAGTGCCACCACAGCGTGGACTTACAGGCCAGGGTCAGCTGGAGGGAGGGGCTGAGCCCCATCATTGCTGACCCTTCCCCCAACACCTGCTGGATTTGCCCAGCGATGGAAGAAGCCGCATTGTTGGCAGGGAGGTCCGGCTTCTGCATGTCTGCTTGTTCTGCCCGGCAGCAAAGACTCCCAGACGACCCTGCCGAGCCTCCCCCAGGCACCAGCACCCTCAGCGTCCGAGACCACGGCCTCCCACGGGCACCAGCACCCTCAGCGTCCGAGACCACGGCCTCCCCCGGGCA